TAGAGTGCCCGGCTGTACATGCTCTTACCTGATACAAATACATGACGACATCATTATATATGTGTATAGACTATAGACAGATTCTTCGTCGCAAAAAAAAATACTAGACAGATTCTTAATTAGTTGGTTAATACAGTAGATGGATTCTTAATTGGTTAAGTAATTCCTCCGATCAAGGAACCGAGCGGTTGAGGTCAGGAGAAGAGCCATCGAACGGTGGGCATTTCGGCCATCTGGCAAATGTTACCGGCGATGGCAACGCCGACGGCAGCAGGCAGGCCGGTAGCGCGCCTCCCTTCACTTTGACTCCGCCGGTCCTCCCTCCAGTGGCGCTAACCAGAAGCTGGATGGTCATCCATTTTTAATCGCCTTTTTTCTTCTTGCTTTGTCCCTTTGTCTTCATTCGCCAAGACACGTTTTTTTGTGTTAGCTCAATTGGGGAGTTATTTTTTTTTAAGATCAGCAAGAGGTCCCGGGTTCAAACCAGCCTCTCTGCATTGCACTTCGTAGGGGCAAGACTAGGTTCCTATAATCCCTCGTCAGACCTCATCTTGTGAAGGAGGTTATCTGCATTGGGTCTGTCCTTTTTTTAAGATCAGCAAGGGACGAACGGGAGTTCATTCGTGTACTCCAGCTTCTACTTTCTATTGCTTACATCATGGCAAATTATTCTATCAATTTCCATGACATGAATCTTCTAATCCTCCCGAAATGCCACTATTTCAGCACAAATTTTATGGGGTACAACATACGACATACTTGCATGTTCAAAGCGAAATGGAGTTCATCCAAACCGGTCAGGTTACCAAGCTCCTCTATGGCACCAACTCAACTCATGGCAAAATTTGTTATCACACACATTGATCCGAGTTGCACGAAAATAAGAAGTCCATCTTAATAGTGGTCTGGACATAAAAAAAAAATAGTTACTTGGTCTAACACCAATTTCTGCACACGCACGGAACCATGTCTGATTGCACTGATCTACCTGAGGACAAATTACAAATACTCCCATCTCTGGATACTGTAAAATTACAAGACAAACAGTACCACAACAAGTTCGCAGATTATCATCAGTGAAGATAGCAGAATAATTGAGTGGTGTAATACATTATTTTAGGTTGATTTTATCATCACAAACAAAGATCAAAAGAGCAGACCAACTAAACTGAAATGGTGAACTGAAGGAAGATTTACGTCAAACATTTTTCACCATCTTATAGCCAGGTTTTGGAACGAAAGGTTTACAGGTGGACTGTGGTAACTTACTACTACCTATGTGCTACAATCCTTTTCCAAAAAGAAAAAACTGGTGTGCTATAATATCCTAGGTACAATTAGTTATACTACACGAAAAAATTCAGTATGATGCATGTGTGATAATGGATTCCTACAATTATGCAAGCCATGCGGTAAGTACTGTTAGGGCTGCAATATTATATTGTTCAATCTTCAGTGTGTGCAAAATTTATAGTGAAAGCACTAAAGTTAACAGAAATAATGGGAACTACACATGTTACGTTTACGGAGGGAATGATAAAAGCTAAGTCACTTCTTATCTTGTAGCAGCTCTCCCAGCTTCGCAACATATGTCATTTCATCCTAAATGTCGATGTCCTTTATGAATCATCTGGGAAAGGCACTTTGTAGATCACATCCTTGATAATCCTCTTTATATCCGGCTTTTGTGAGACTGATACAAAGGCCTGACAATGATAATGCCCCCGAATCTTGCGATAGACCTCATGCACTAGAGTTGTTTTCCTCAATCCACCAAAACCAACAATGGACAACACCCTGCGATGATGCTTGGTCAGCCTGTCTTCTTCCATCATCCACTTACACAGATCATTTCCTGGACCGTCAATGCCCACAAGGTGTTCTTTGTCAGCAAAAAGAGCAGACAGCCAAGGATCCACGGCTGCATGGCCAGAGGAGGTGCTACAGGCAATATCATCCAAGCTTGTAACTGCTCTTCAGCTCTTTCACTTGCTTGGCGCGAACCTTTAGATCATCAATTTGGTTGGCGATTCAATGCCGAAACCCAAATGTCCTTAGACGGCGAGCAGTCTTGCGTAAGAAGTCCTTGAAGCTTCCATTATGCTCGTCACTGCCAAGCTGGTGAATGAACTTGTCGACACAATCTTCGATGTCATAGGCCAGCTCTCTCACCGGCGATATACGTGCCTTCACTTGGACATCTGGATCACCTAGCATGGCATGCTTCTAGACCACAGCATGCAGGCTAGTAAGCTCAGATTTGAGGGACCAGATCTCGCGGCGGACCCTTTTCAGACGGCCGCACTCACCGACGAGAAAAGCGGTGAGCTTCACCAGCAGAGGACCCAACGCGCCCAGTGAAGCGCTCACCACCGGCGCCATCAGTCTCTGTCTCTACTCCTTGTTCTGCACCCCAGCTCTTGTTTGTGTGTGTGTGTGATGGTAGTGGGGAGAACTCAGACAAGCAGGAACACAGATGAAGGGTGGGTATTACCAGACCAGTTGCAAGATTTACCTTGGATCACAACGATGGCTGGCATGTGTATTTGGTCAACACGCCTCACCCGCTGCTAGCATGTGCCTGAGTAAGTTGATAACAAAAATGTCAGGTCACAACAGGTAGAGAGAGCCTCGTTAGCAGTAATGAATTCAGGTTAATTATAAAACCGAGGCAAAACTTTTGGCCCTCAAGCGTTCATCTCGATAGCCACTTGTCCTACATATTATAGTTAGACTTTGTTTTACGCGCTGGGTGCGCGTACGCGAATCTCATACAAGCATCATGGCTGGATTCAAACCTCGATTAGTCAACGGTGGCAACTGTACACTGGCATTTAGATTAGGACAGGGGTGAAGGGCTAATGTGTCGAATTTTTCAGCACCTAAATTGGATTTTGTTTTATGGCTGAAATCATGTATGTAAGCCTCTGCTTGACTTTCAGTTTTCGCCATCCAAATTCAACCCCTCTAGTCACCTTCTCTAAAGTAATACTAGTGCATATCCACAAACACCCTATATATCAGATCCGGATTCGAATCGGGTCAACAAACAAAGATTGTTTCTGCTATGATGTGCCTTAGGCTGTTTTATGTTGCGGAAAATAAAACCAGAAGCTGTCTAGAGAGAGAATAGTGGTTTCAAAAAGTGTCTTGTTAATACCTGTCGATCCATTTCGGCGCAGAAGCTACTCTGTTTGCGTGTAAAGATAAACCACAAAGTGGCAAGTTGAACTATTTGCAAGAGATAGCCGAGTCAAGAACCTGGCGGCGGCTCAAGTGGGAGATGTGGAATATCTCTAGGAGCCTCATACGTCCATATCAGCTCCATAATAAAGAACCTAAAACGTGGCGAACTTCATGCGCCTACCACTTTCTGCTCAGCAGGATAATGACATCCACCCAGTTGGAATAGCCAGTTTCAGGTTAAAGTTCGCACTAAAGGCGTTCAAACGGCAACTTCACCCAGCATGACACGCCACAGGCAGTAATTTTGCTTCACCTAGAGAACAAAACCAGCAGCTGTTTAGAGACAAAATCATGGACTCAAATATAATGGCATGTCGACGCACATCAAGAAATCAAAGAAGATTAGCAAATCTTACCTCAGCTTGCACCAAACTCCGAATGCACGCTCAACCACCGAAACAGACATTGATGGCAGGATTAGGGGACATCTTAATCATTGCACCTCCAAACACGCACTCCATACAATTACAGAAGAAACATCGTAATCATTCCGGTTCAGTGGTTGCATTACACTTGGTCATGGAGCATGCCTGAAAGGAGCGTTTCTTGGTATGTTGGTTGGTCGATTTACCAGACGAAAGCTGCAGAAAAGCAAGTAGCGGCAGCAGCAGCACTTCAAATACTACTGCTGCAAGAGAACAAACTGATGATAGGCCTTGAAACTTACCGCAAAGATAGCTGGCCGGCCATCAGAATATTTCTGCAAGCTTTTGAGATGCCAAGGGTTGCTGCAAAGGTAGACGTTAGCCTTCTCGGTTCCATAAAAAGGAGCAGTATAAAAGACAGTAAAAGATGAATAAATTCATGTGTAGTTGCTGCCCAACTTTCTATGGCTTTACATCAGGACAGTGATGCAGGGTGACCGGCAATTGCAACACTTGCATAGATCTGAGGATGATAAACAAATATCTTGTTTCAGATATGTCATCCGGAACAAGTTAAATATCTGAAATATGAATAAAATACCTGAAGTGTGACGACGAGCTACATCAAAATTTCAGTCGGACAGCCACAGGTTATTTTCCAAAATAATAGTGATAGTGAGGACTTGTTCTCTGTGGACAGATGAAATGAATGTGGATGCATTGACTTGTGAACAAGAAAGGAACACCCAGGGAATCTAATCACTAATAAGCACAGTGATAACAACATGGAAATTATCCACAAAGTCATGATATATCTGCAAGCGATTGATGATAACAGCTAACTCAAGAAATGCAGAAAATATCTAGGACAATATATGTTTAACTGAACCATTCAAACATTGTAAACACCAGGCCACATTAAATTAAATAAATGACGCGGACATGTAAAAAGTTGGGTAACTTGATGTGTAATTGCTGCAACTTTCTATGATCAGTACAATGATGCAGGGTGACTGGCAATTGCAACACTAGCACAGATCTGAGGATCGTAAACAAATATCTTGTTTCAGATATGTCATCCAGATATGAACCATTCAAACATTGTAAAGACCAGGCCAAATTGAATTAAATGAATCAAAAATCATCAAACACATTGTTTGCTAGTACCAACAAAGCAATTCATCACCTAGGTTCCAAATGCTCGATTCAGAATCACAGTGGACATCTCTCCCCTGTAACTAATATAGCAGATGTTGCTCTGCTCCTATGTACAACACCAATTCTGTTCTACAAATCGTCGTGTTCCCTTTCTTTTCTTCTATAAATACATAAAAACATGAAACAGAAGCAATCGGCAACCTTTTTTTTCTTTCGGTTCAGAGTTGAGGACTATCTCTGCACCATCGTGTCGGCGGCGTGGCCGTCTTCGAGCCTCCAGCTCATGCTCCGGCTTCTCGAGCCGTGGCTGAACGCCGCGGAGTGATCCGACGCCTCGGTCATCTCCTCGGGCCTCATTTGCGAGGACGAAGCGTGGGAGCTCGCCGAATGGCCGCGGCCGAAGCAGGCAAACACATTGCGGAAGACGCGTCGAATGGCGCTCCTCTCCGTCGACCGGCTCTGCCTCGACCCCCACGAGATCCTCCTCGGCGCGCCGCCGTGGTTGAAACCGCCGTCCATCTCCGTGTAGACGACCGGGAGCTCCCTCTCCTCGGGCCTCCTCCCGCCGGCGAACCTCCCGACGGCGAACCCGCCTCCCGGCAGCCTCCAGATGGTGAGGCCAACGGTGGTCTCCTCCTCGGCCCCGGCGCTGGCGGCCAGCGACCGCGCGGCGGCGGCACTGTCGGTGGGCATCTCGTGGCGGCACACGGGGCACGAGTTGCGGAGCTGCAGCCAGGGGAGGATGCAGTCCTCGTGGTAGATGTGGGCGCAGGGCATCTCCCTGGCCTCGGCGCCCAGCTCGAAGGGCTCCTTGCAGACGGCGCAGTGGCAGTCGGCGGCGACGTGGGAGGCCGCGATGGCGACGGTGGGCATGGACTCGACGGCCGCCTTGGACGCCGGCGGGGTCTCGCGGGCCCGGGTGAGCCCGCCGGCCTCGATCTGCGCGAGCTGGCCGAGGAGCCGCTCGAAGCCGGACCCCATGAGGAAGTCCGACATGCTCTCCGGCAGCGGGCGCAGGCCCGAGCCCGCCCCGTCGTCGTAGAAGAGCTCGAAGCTGCTGGCCGCGGCCAGCTGGCCCTCGTCGTCGCCGTTGTCGTCCCCCGCTGCGGCCCCGAGCGCCGAGCGCCGGAGCACGATGACCGGGTTGAACGGCGCGCGGTCGCCCCCGCCACCTCCTCCAGAGGCGGAGGCGGCCGCGGCGGCACGGCGGCTGCGGCGGAGGCGGAGGTCGTTGGCGTGGTGCGCGCGCGGGCGGCGGAGGTAGGCCGGGGCCGGCGGGGTCCGGCGCATCTCCTCGAGGAACCCGCCGCCGCAGTCCGGGCAGGCGACGTCGCCGCCGCCCTCCGGCGACGCCGCGGCGCGCACGAAGCGGTCGCAGCTGTAGCACCAGTAGGACGCCGACGCGGCCGGAGAGGAATCCATGGATGGACCGGCAGGCACACGGCAAGAAAAGATGCAGACTTTGACCTTTCTCCTCCGAGCTCAGATCTGGCCTGCAGAACTGGGCACCGGAACGCGACGCTCCTCCGGTCTCCCCCTTCGCCGGCGGTTATGCTTGACCCTCGGCGACCGATCCGGCGACGTGGAAGAGAGGAGAGCGTCGGATCCCCTGACCGGCGGCGGAGGAGAAGTGCTGGGAGGAGGAGGTGCCCC